TGTGTGTGTGTGTGTGTGTGTTGGGCTGGATGCCAGTCTCTCACTGGTTCTTCTAGCAAAGTACATACTACCCTACCTGATACAGCAAGAACACTAAAGAAAGGAGACACTGAAACAGAGCCGTCCCAATTTTTTCTTTTTTTAAATAAACACACCATCGAGAAAATTTCATAAGTGAGAACTCGTAAGACTCTACAGCATCCTACAACACTGTGTTCTCCTTTATGAAATCCTGTGGGAAAACGTCTGCCATAGTAAACTCGGTGAGGATGATTTATTTAGAGGAGTACAAATGATTTGATAAATTGAAAACTGGGTTGACTTTGGATTGGAAAGAGGGGTGTGAGGGAGGATAAGGGAGCAAGATGTGAGGGATGTGATGCAAGAAGTACTGGATCAATCTTTTATCACTGCAGTGTGCTTTCATCCCTAATGGATCCGACATGAGCAAGGCACAGCATTACCTTCCGTCACATTGCACAGGCAGGGGGAAGGACGCACGGAAAAGTACAGGAGAGAGCAAGTGAGGTAAGCACAGCAACACACGAGAAAGAAAGACAGTTTTATCGGAAAAGACGAGAAAGTGGCTCAAACCACCCGCCTGAAAATAATCACAGCCTCATACATGCAAAAATATTATTTCACCAACATGTGGCCGTAGAGTTTCCAATTACATCTGCACCTGAGTGCATCGGCAGGAGTACGGAAATGCTACTGATAAGGACTGTGAGAAATTCAGACGCTTCACAGCATGAAGGATGACTTCGAAAGTTCCCATCAAGAATCCCAAGAGATATCTTGCTGTGCATGGGCAGGCTTGCCTTCCTTGCCATGTGAGCTGAGTGACAGACAGACACACTGACAGAGACGGAGAGAGACAGACGGACTATTCTAGAAGAGGAGTCCATCTGTGTATTCAAGCAGGAAAAGAGCATTAAAAATAACACTGCAGAGAACAAGGCACAACCACTCTCACAGGACACTCTACTGTCTCAATGCTAAAAAGGCTCATTCATGTGACAGAAAATAAGAAATATCTAAGCACTTGATGGAGACTTGAAGGGTAGCAGAGAGAAAATAAGGCTGAGAATAAAAGTTGAACGTTTTATGATGCATTCCTAGGAATAGGGAGTATACCGCCTTTTAAATCACATTATCTCATTTGAAAATATTTCAAAGGATGAGATAATACCATTTATATAGTTCATAACAGAGTTCCTACCACCGGGCCATGCAGCAGTGAAAGTTTTAAACATTAGCATTAATATTTTCTTAAACCTGCCGCTCAGCCGGCTTTACCTTGGTGATGATAAACTGGATACTCTTCCCTTTGGCTATTGTTGCATATTAATAAAAAATTGCTACAGAAATATAGCCGTTGAAGTTGAAAACATCGAGGCAAGTGCTACCACTTAATATAGTTTCAAACCTTCAGCAGATATGCCTTCACATATGTTCATAGTACAATAGAGTTATTTATTCATAGTTTTACGTAAACAGAAGCCACAGTTTGGTGCCAAAACTTTCTTTTGTATCTGCAACCAAAGCCCTGCTCCACTTGCTCACAACTTCTTTTTATTGTTGGGAACTTAGCGACTTTGTACCCCCTGTAGTGACATAAAAAAATGACATAAATAAACACACCTGGCAACAATTCGAATGATGTTTTGAACCAACATTGATCGTTTCCTTTATAATCGCTTGATTTTTTTGCACCAGACAAATGAGCTGTGCATGTCCACCAACTTCCTCTTTTTTTAATGGGACATCTTACATTTTTCTGTACACACAACCAAAGTCATAATGCAGCTCTACTTTCAAACTATTTGTATGCGTTATTTTTAAGTGATATTGCATATATAGAAGCACAATTTTAGCCATGAAGAGCAGCTGCTTGGAAATGGCTTTGAAGTGACTGCAGTAATCTAATCCGATTTAATATAATAACATAATAACGCAGTCTTAATGGGCTGCATTTCAGTCACTATTACTTAACAGGAAAATAAAATAAAATCATGTATGTGAGACAAACTTTTCCTGGAAATTTAGGTGGAAAAAAAGAAAATGTTTTTATAGCAGCTGTGAAAGGGCAGACACTAGGCCGAGGCAAATATGATGCGATTACATCATGGATATGCTAAGTGGCACATGGCATTATTCAAGCAGGCTTTAGTCACTTTCTACTGACAGCTGGAAACACTTGAGCAACATAAAGGGATCTTATTTTAACCACAATATGTTTAATTAAAAGTGCCTTTCACGTTTCACATGTGGCTTTTTCTTATGACTATAATAGCCACTCTGTTTTCTAGTACATTAAATCGTCATACTTCTGTTCCCTTCAAAGATCTCAAGCAAATATGGTCCACTACATTTACTTAGGATAATAAATTTACTGTCCTTGATAACTCTGAGCAAACATCAGGTGGGACTGATCATTTGAATAAGGGTTACACACTGTAGTATAACAACTGCTAACGATTACATAACCTAAAACTAAACTAAAACTAAATAATTAGAACCAAGCGCTTGGGTCAAAGTCCATATGGCTCCCTTCCCTTAACCATCTATTATTCTGACACTATCTTTCTGGAAACAAGTCAACTTTGTGAAACATACTAACAGAGATAACACACGAGGTGTAACTGTTCGACTCCCACAACCTGGAAAAAAAAAATTCCCTTCTGGAGAGAGGGATTTAAAACCAGCAGCCCTGATTGGACAACAAATACAGCCTGCTAATGAGCTTCACCGTCTAACACAAACCATGCTGAGAATCTGTAACTAAGATGCTAGCCATGCATAATGATGAGTCAACGTTTATATAGGCTCACTTCCACTGGATTTGGTGCATTAGATTTGCACAGTGTTTGAGATGTATAGCACGGAACGTGCAGTAAGTGAGCTGAACTCTGCCCGTGACTTTCATAAATTAATCTTTAATCCTGGGGTAGTAAAAAGAGCAGCCTGTGATACATTACACTTGTGGACAGCCTCTATTTGCACAGGCAGGCTGGCTTTGTGACTGACACAAAAAGTTATATATATATATTTTTTTTTTAAAGAAAAAAGGGGGGGAAGGGGCATAATTGCACAAGTGCACAGTCAATGAGGTTTCCTCCAAACAGGTTTGGGTCCTTTTGTCTCAGGCAAGAATACTTGGGTGACGGGTCTAGTGTCAACAGGTACATGTAAAGACACAGTTCATCACTCTACAGACATAACACAAGAGTCTCTTCATTATTATGCCATTCAAACAACAATACAAACAGAAACTCGCCATTTATAATAAAAACTAACAGTATTTATAGTAGTAATAATAACAGGTTTTTACGTGCATGCTGGAACATACGGCAAAGCCGGCTGTATTCAGAGAAACTTCCTGACACCGTGATTCAAGCAGTCAAGGACACGTTCAAACAATCACCAAAAGAAGCCGGTACACTTACCGAGTAAAAGAGAAGCCTTTCCGCCTCTTCAGTGATTTAAATTTCTTTTCCTCAATCAGTTTTTTTTATTCTTTCTGTCCCTGTGCCTCAATCGGGGAAATCCTTTACTTCTGACAGGGCAGCAGAGCTGGTTGAGCGGCTGGTGCGTTACGCAGCTTAGCAAGTGTCTGTGTGAGCAGTGAGTGAGCCGAGAGGAGGTGAGAGGCAGTCCTATGTGGTCACGAAGAGATTTAAAGGATGTCGCGACTTCTCCTCCGCACTGTCCCGCTGCCTTTTCGTCTCTGGCTGCTTGAGGAATGTGCTTCAACCAGGAGCCCTCGCCACAGCAGAGATCTGAGAGGTGCCAGAGTTCTCTCTCCCTCTGTCATTCTACACTCCTCCTCCTCGCCGTCTTTCTCACCCACACAGAAACACACCCTCCCCGCCAGTCCATTCTCTCTCTCACTCTTTTTCTCCCCACCCTTTCTTGCTGTGCTGACAGATCAGATCACCTCCCCCCTTTTTCAGGTAGTTGAAAGAGTGTTTTGTGTGTTGCCGTACTCTATCAGCATCAATTTTTGCAGTTCTTCTGTTCACAATCTGTATTTCTGAATGACACAAAGGACTACTTAGAGGAGAATTTAAAAATTAAGAGCAGTATAAACTCCCTGCTGTTAGCACAATCAGTAGCTCGAGGCATTAGACATACACGCAGTGGCCTCTGGTTACAGCTGATTACACAAATGAGTCTGTCAGGTGATTTTCTCTTCCTTTTCCTGGAATGAGGTCATAGTCCGACAGACCAGGTGGACCTGGACAACGTGTGTGTGTGTGTTTGTGTGCGTGCATGTGTTTGAGTCAGGCAACGCCCTGTGGGAAAATGAGAGAAAGAAGCAACTTAAATCTAATGACTACTGTCCAGAAAGCAACACAGTCACATTATAAAAGAAACTCATTACTTTACAAAAGTAGGATAGAAACTATTTAACATTTTAAAATAATGTAACAATCTTGAGTTGTGCTCCTACCTCCATAACCTTCTCTCACAAACACACACAGAGCTGAGACATGCATGACCAATGGGCTAGGCAGAATGTGTGGGAGCCCCCAGCATGAGCCATACCCCACTCTCTTGACATTATCCTCATCTTTATCCGTACGTCTCCCTCAATCTTAACCGTAAACTATTTTTTTAGTGTCTTATTTCTCCCTCACTATCTTCCCTACAGAAGAAACTAGAAAATGGCCACTTAGACGTTATGTAAAAGCAAGCAAACATCTCGAGTTTAAAAGGAGGACTAACTGAGGCCCAGATAATGAAGCAAAACAGCTAATATATTAGCACCGAGACTATAACAGCCTATATGATGCTAAATAAAGCACACATTAAAAACTGATTGTTACCAGTTTTTATAGCAACATAAAACAACACCCTTCAGACTGTCACGGCTTAAAATGAACACGTTCATGGGTTTTGAAAAAAATAAATAAAACTTTTATGGCTCTTTTCAGTATGAAGCAATCCCCGCTCTCTGTCTGGCACCCCTCCACTGTGCCTCGTACATGAAAAACAAAGTGCAGCCGCGGAAGTAATAAGTTCATGTCTAACACATACACCTGCATACCATTTAACCACAGTGGTAGTTTTCTTATGTGAACTACTGACAACCTCATTATAAATTTGAGACACAGGTTCAGCTCAAAAGCACATGTTATATCTTTTCCTTTGACTTTTCATAATAATACATTTTCAAAATGCATAAAAAGAAGAATTTCAATGAATCTACATATCGCTCTGAGGCTTTTCTGATACCAATCGATCGCGCCACCAATTTGTACCCATGGACATTTTACAGCTCCAGGTGGCATGTCATATATTTTCCTCCAACTTTTCACCTAAAGGCAACATGTAATCTCAAGATTACAGATTTGCATGTTAACCAGATAATATATATATTTTTAAAATGTAGCAGTTGATACACTCTTTTACATGAACAGAAAACATACGAAAATATTTCTGATGAGAATCCCAAAAATTTGCTTGTATTAATAAGACTGAGACCAGCATATCTTACAGGAACAGCTGCTGTTACCAGAAGTTCTTTAAACTATAAAGTGGTGCAAATATATATACACCAATACTGACATATAAGTGACATTTAGCATTCTCAATTAATACATCAGTTCTTATTTAGTTACACCTCTTTTTAGTTAATTTATAATCAATGTGTTTTGTGGCATTAATTAAGTAAAAACTAACCAAGTCCAAGGGAATAAAAAGGCCAATTTCACAATTTTCCTTTAGTGTCACAAAATATCAGAGCAATTTTTTTACTTCCCCTCTACTTTAATCCTTTGTAGTTTTGGAACTCTGATGCAAAGATGCAGCAGCAGACGATCAACAAAACCTTTGTCATCCTTTTCTTTACTTTGCCTCCATCTGACAACAAACTGTATTCCAACCAAACTAATGAGGACACGCAGTCACAGTGCCTAATAACCAGCGTGCACATTGTATAAAGCAGATGTTCCAAAAATAGATGTTGGGGATTAATTGCATTAATTTGATGAATTAAATCATGCAAAAAACAAAAGATCCCTGCGAAGAATTCTGTAGCTTTTAGCCAGGCTGACTCAGAGGCTCACGGAGGGTCAGTTCCCATCAGTGTAAAGTGTTTCACTGTTCTGTCTATACAGCAAAGCTTTTGACACATCTAAGAGCTATGATGTCTGACAAAATTTAAACCCCTCTTGAATAAAATAGGGGAACAACCTCCTGAGGTGGTGCTTAGGTGCAAAAGGCCACAGTTAAAAAAGTAACCACACTTGTTAGGTCCTGATGGGCTATTACTTGTAAATGGATCATCTGCTCGTCCGTCCACAGACCCACATCCACTTAATTTAAGACAGAGGGCATTGTGATGTAAAGGATAATCAGTCCAAAGCCTCCCAGACTTTGCTGACACCTTCCAGGCATTCCTCAGGGTACCTCCCACTGCTGTGCCCCACCCCACACCCCCTTGTCAAGCTCTACATATCATCCCTTTTTTCCTGTGACTCAAACATTCCTGCAACCCCCTCCCCTTCTCAATTTCCAGCTCCGCCTCTGCATTCAGCAAAGACGCTAAAGAAAACAAAGATGAGGCCAAAACAGCTTTAAAACCTGCACTTTTCGAGGCAAGTCTTTCAAGTAGTTCTTTATCATTTATCTGCATTCAAAAAAAAAAAAAAAAAAAGTAAAAGTGTCACACAGCTGTTTCGAAACACCAGCTATAAACTAAGGCAATACTTCAACGAGCAAGTGGTTGTAAGTCTGTCTAAAGATGACCCATCCATAACTCGACTCAGGAGAGGCAAGAAGATGGCTCTGAGAGTGAAAAATAGACTGGCTGTGTCTGGCAGCAGTTCAACTTGGGAGCAAAGAGAGGGGAATGCATGCTGACACTGTCTTTGTTGGCTATTATTCAACAACAATGAATAGCATGAAGTTGCTCCTAAGGCTCATCCATTTCCATCTCCCCTGTTGAAACCACCACCATTTTCTTCCCTCAGTTAATTCAACCCTTCACTAAAAGCACTCTCCAACAAGTAGTCAACGGGTTGGCTAAGACTAAAACCTGGACAATGAATGGAATGATACACTTCTATTTTCAGAACGCCAAACAAGCTTTAAAAAAAAAGAAAAATAAATCCTGAACTTTTGTTGACATCAGTTTTCATTCTCAAGCAACACAAGGTAGTAATGCTCTGTTTTTCCCAAACATGGCTAAGTATAGGGTTGCTGTCTCATTATGGTCAGGCCAATGTTGGTGCTCCCATATTGCAGCTATGTCTTGTGTATCATTATGACAGACAACATGGTTTTGCCAGTGAAGGTAATTGCCCTGTTGAGATGTAAATATAGCACATCCCACATCAAGAACAGACAAAGACTTTTGTTTTCTTCCCAGAAACTTGGATCACAAGATGATTTGTGGTTTGAAAGCAAATACATGTCACCGCATTATCGCCTGACAAATAACAACGGGTGATTCGACAATCTGCCGCCAAGGTGAATCTGAACACAAAGGGATGACAAGTGAGCACAAAAGGAAAATGACAGCAAGACACGGTCAACTGGATCAGCTGATACACTCCAGGTAAACAAACTTTGAATTCTTCTAAACAGGACAGAAAAGACAGAAAAAAATACAGAAAGCCACCTCGCTCTCTGATCACTCTTTTTAAGACCGCTTCAATGAAGCAAAAGAGATTCTCAGTTGGCTTTCACAGCTTCCAAGTTGTCAGGACTTTGGCTACACTCTGGCACTTTCTCCATCATCTCTTTTTCTGCTTCTTTATTCAGAACCAGTCTAGACTGGCTCAGGACAAAGTTACCACCATTCAAAAACACTGCTGCGTCACACATTGCATCACGTTGCATTTTGAGCAGCTGAATGAAAAGCTATTTTGAGAGATGAAATACATTTTTGGACAGCGATCACACGCTGCAGTGTGTTTATCTTCAGTGTCTTCGTGTTGGAAGCAGCAAACTAGTACTTCAAAATATCTCGACTGCTTAAAAATCACGCTTTCTGGTAAGACACTGTCTCTGGAGAAAAAGCTGTGCCATTAGTGTCACACTGTGTTGCCCCATGCTGTTCCTATCAGTAAATGGATACTACAACCAGCCTCAATGCTACAGGGAGAGAGAGCTGTGACACACAAAGTTGGATAGACTGTTTGTACCAGATGTAGTAGCTGTTTCCAATTTTTCCTTTCTCTCTCCCATACAAGAAAAGGAAGTGATAGGAGGGGAAAAAAAGACAAAAATCAACAAGTCATTATAAAGTGATTATAAAGGGCTTCATCTGAATTTTATAGTCCGTTTATGAATACGAATACATCATATTATATGCAAAAGCATGGGGTGAAGATATGGAAACTGCAACCTCAGCAGGTGACTTGATATCAGCTTGTGCTGAAAGGGAATTGTGAATAAACACCTCAGATTAACACACTTTAGTTGCCTCATGAGAACATGTGACTATAATAAAAATAAAAATAATAAAAACACACCAGACATATTCTTGTTGCCATTTGTTACTATTGTTTCACATTTTTCTTTTTTCGGTTTAAGGGAGCTCATTTTTGTGTCATATTTTAACATTCCGAGCTGGTTTTGTGACAGTGAATTATTATTTCTTTTTATTTAGCTGCAAGGATATGAATAATATAGAAACATTTTATTGTTCTTTTTGCTGTTTATTTGTTACGCCCTTTAAAAGTTCAATAAAGGCATTATTAACCTCCTAAGACCCAAACTCTTCCAAGACATGCATTTTTAATTTCTCTTTGATATTTGGGCATATTGGGGCCCAATGAATGTAAAAACAAAGAATTACCAGATTTTTTTTTTTAACCTT